ATGTAAATGTAATAACTAAATTAAATAAACAAAGCATAACAGATATCACCTCAACAAATGGTGAGATATTGAAAAGCAGAATCATTTGGCTATCCTTGGTTAGACTGTAAGATACTTCATATGCTTTCCTTTGCCTGTAATGACAGATAAAACATGAAAACTGGCATTTAAGAATTGATAATTTGGACTAAATATGTTACTAATTATTTGTATGTTAGATTTCAATTTTCAATTGGCATGCTATAGAATGGGGATGGAAAAATATGATTAAAGAAACTGATTCCAGCAGACCATTTTATTATGGGGCCATTTCAAATTGACAGCAATAATAATTTTGATGCATAATTTATTTGTTTCTTCATTTGATATTAGATCAGATATAGTTCTGTTTTTTTTTTTAGTTTGTTGCTGTTAAATGTTTTAAGATATTCAAAGATTATTAGGTTTGAAAGCTAAATTTCCTTATTTCCCAAAGTTTATTTCATTCTAAATAAAGCAATTCTTCATAGCAACAAGACACATTGCAATATTTCTTTTGGTAGCCTACCGTAAACCATGGTGGTTAATTTTACTAAACAGCTAATTATTTAGCTAATAATTTGCAACATTCCAACATTCCAGTTCTTAAATGTGCAATAAATTGTATGGAATGTTTTTACAATGGCTCTTTTTTAATTCTAAAGCTCCTAACCATATAGGCAGGATTGATTTCTGGATAAAATTCTGATCATCTATTAGCCATGAGGATTATGGCTTGCAGGAGTTTGTGAGAGAGAATGTCTAAGAAGTTCTTTATCCCTGTTAGGATATGCCATGAAATGCTTTTTTTTTTAAAGAGTATTCATGATATTTAAAACTCAGGAAGGTTCATTAAAACAAATAATTGTATGCTAACGTTTTCACTTTGTGCTCCTGTGTCTTGTATCAAGTATATTATATTTTTTAGTGCTTGGCTTTTTATACATATTTTCTCAATTATTCCTACTTTTCTCCCTGTGTTATGTTGGCACTGAAATTGTTGAAATGTTTGCAAGAAGAGGTTTCTTGCTGCACTTTCCATAAACAGGCATAATTCAATTATTTAATTTGTTTGTGCATTGGACACAGAAATATTCAATTTGGACGTGATGTAACCATAGCTTGCAACATCGGAACTGCTTAGTCATAAGCAGCTATTATTTGCAAATAATTGTTTTAAACGTTTGCTGTCTTAATTCATTGCTAGTGACTATCTTCATCTACACAAGGAATATGCAGCAAAACAGATCACACACACAAACACACACAACACACACACACACACACACACACACACACTTGCCCACTTAGTTTTCAGTCTCCAAAATCACACTGCTCAAATTTGGCAGCAACAAAATAGCTTGAATTATCATCCTGTTTTGGAAGGAAATATACGAAAACAAATGCTACACCTTAAGTAGACTTAATCCACATATTTTTTTAAAAAAAAACAATCCCTCCAGAACAAAAATAGTAAAGCAGAACAAGTTACAGTTGTCATCCCTTTGATACTAACTGTGGACTTCGACACCCAGAGTAACATTTTTTAAGCAGCTTCTTTTTGGGCAAAGATTAGCCACTCAGTCTACCTTCCACGTTAAAAGATTAAATTCTGAAATAGTATTTTGCAGATTGTTTAACATAAGGGGTTAATTAGTGAATTGGTGTTTCTGCATGATGAAAAGGAGTTCTGTTGTCATAAGATGGGAGTTAGCATTGCGGTCTTTGATGTGTCCGAGTTCTTATGAACATTGATTTACAATTTTAAGGTTTTCTTTGATCAGGCTAGACGCCTAGAAATGCTATCTAAAACATTTCCCACAGGTTCTGTTCTGTATTCTTTTTTAGGATATAAACTTGTGAGACTTTGGTTTGTTACAAAGATAAAGGGCAACTGTTTTACACAATACATTATAGATATATATTTTGCAAAGTAAGTGAGCACAACTGGAATATTGTCCTTTTTGATAATAATACACAATTTGTTTACATCATTGTGTGTGCCTTTTGTGGCGTATGTGTAATCCTAACATATTGACACACACAAGGAAGGTAATCTGGTATGTTCCTCATGTGCTGAAATACAACTCTTATAATGTTGCTATGCTATTACTCTGAGAATGCCTTTCCTTTCATGCCTTCACTGTCTGTTAGCAAGCCTTTTGCTAGGCCGTATCTGGCAGCAAAACCTTCTATAGGAAATGGTTTACAGGTAGCTAGGCAGGACTTGCAAAGTCTGCACATCTAGCCACACAGGACGGATATAGCCGACCACAAATTGTTCTTGACACCTGTAGAATTTGCTTGTTTTGTACTTGCTTGAAAACGCTAACGTAGGGTACACGTGAAACTTAGGAAGCACGCAGTTATCAATTCTGTTATTGGTCTAGATGCATAAATTGTAACCAATGACATTTGTAATGTTTGCAAACCTCATTTGCGTATGAAAGTTTATATATTCAGCTTTGCTACATAATAAAGTTGTCACTTCACCCAGAGAGATCTCGTGTCCTCAAGTTCTTTCTAGGATTGGCTTCGTGGGTGACCCCCCTTGATTGTTGTGCCCAGGTGCCGCCCTGGAGAAGCCGTTTCCTCCAGGGACGGACTGGGGCACTAACATTATAATCTCATTATTGACATTGGAGTAGAAGAAAAAGTGATCCTTACATTAAAAAAAAGTCTTTTTAATGGAGAAAAGAGTTTTTAGGTTCTCAATTTATTACTGGAGGTTGTCTCATAATTTTGTCTCATGATAGGAAGATAGAAGGGGAGTAAAAATGTATTCACACTTTTGATAATTGGTATTGGGGAAGATTTTCTTTTTCATAAAGTTTTTTTTATTTTTCATTTTCATAACATATAAACACATGTATACTATTACATAGCCAACATCGTATTGTATTATTAAATGTTTACATCAATTCATCTTACCATCAACTCCCCAAAACAAAAAGAAAAAAAACCCAGTTATTGGCTCTTCTGCTCTCCATACACTATATTTGTGCATTCACTTTCTTCTCCCTCTCTCATTCCCCTCCCTACTTTCTTTCTTCTTTCTGCCTCCTTCCCTTCTCTACTTCCCCTTCCTCTCTCCTACTCCTCTCTCCCCTTTCCACTCCTCATTTATCTCCTCCTCTTTCCCCCTCCTACCCCATCTCCTATCCCTTTCTCCTTCCCTTACCTCTCCTTTTCTATTGGGGAAGATTTTTGAGAATACCTTGGGAACCAAACAAGATGGATCACTGAACAAATCAACCCAGATGATTTTTCTCTTGAGGCACAAATGACCATGTTCAAATGATCATATTTATGACACATTATGTACAGACTTAGCCCTCTGGAGATGACTCAAATGCTGGGAAAAGGTGGAAGGAAAAATGAAGAGGGTGATCAGCAACAGGATGGATGGAGTCAATTAGGTAGCAAAAGGTCCAATGTTGGAAGGCCTGAAGAGGGACAGCTGCTCATAGAGAAAATTTATCTACCGTATTTTTCAGACTATAAGACACATCTGTGTATAAGGCGCACCAAGTTTTCAAAGAGGTAAGTAAGAAAAAAAAATTGTCTTCCCTGGCCCCCAGAAATACTCTGCAGGCTTCAGCAGGGCTGGGGTAAGGCAAAAATGCCCCCGTTTTTCAGCAAAAAGGGGGCATTCTTCCTTTCCCCAGCCCTGCTGAAGCCTGCAGAGTGCTTCTGGAGGGGTGAGGAAGGCAAAAACACTCCCATTTTGATGAAAACAGCCTGTTTTTCCACCCATTTTTCACAAAAATGGAATGTGGGGGTGGGGCTTCAGGAGGCCAAAAATGGCTGTATTCAGTGTATAAGATGCACCAACATTTCCACTCTCTCTTGGGGGGTGGGGGAAAGGTGTGTTTATACTCTGAAAAATATGGTATATGGTCTCCAAGCGTCAGTACTGACTTAATGGGCACATAATCATCAATCAAACTATCAATCACAATTGCTTACATTGTATGGTAATTACCGTACTTCCAATTATGGGCAATAGCACATTGGCAATGATAACTAATTAATGTATTTTGGAATTGTACACAGGAATTAGAAATGTATGCTTGGTCACTACTCTGTGTGTGTGTGCGAGCTATGAGAAGGTATATAACCCTAAATGCTATTGCTATAATTTAAGATTATAGTATCTATATATAATGTCAATTGCAAAAAAATAAATCTAGTGGAGCAGTTCCTCAATTTACTGTCCATCGGATGAATTAGACTTCAACTCCCATAATCCCTCACCAATAGCCTGTCTTAGCCTGTGGCTTTTCAGTTTTTCTTAGTTTTTTTTTTTAAATGCATGTTAGGACAGTATTCATATTGGCTCCTTGAGAAATATTGGAGTGATATAACTCCTTTAAAAATGGCTATAGATTTTAATCCCATCAATTTATACTGTAGTTTCTGATATTCCCCTCATGATTTGATTTATTTTTGTTTTTTCAAGGAACAGCTGTCCAAAAGACCTAAGCTAGTGGTCAGAACAGCAAAACACTACTTGGCTTTCTGATTTCAAAAGCCCAGTTTATACTCCTAAGTGCTTCCCTTTCCAGTATTGAGTTAAAGTCAGAAGAAGAAATATGTATGTGTTCTGCATCTCATTAATTTATTAACCTCATATCATTAGTGAGTTCTTGGTGAACACTCTCCCATTTTTCCCACTCCTCCTCAAAGGAGTCACTTTGATTTCAGAGACTACAATGAACTGTTACTTGGAGTTTCAGATAATGGGGATCTTATTTGTGATCTGGTTGGTTTCACATGATTTGTCTTTGGTAATTCATGCAGAGCCCTGCCAAGCAGTGTGTTCTTGTCTAAATATTCTTGAACCAACTTCTTAATAATCTATTCCAGGGTTTGCTGGATTTTGACGCGAAGCTGACTAGCTTCTCTTAGGTGGACTGTCTTTTTTCCCCTTCTTTTTGGAGTTGGATCAACTTTTGTTCTTCTCTGGTCTTCTTTTACAGACTGAGCCCATCCTCCATGATTTCTGACAGATAACAAAAAGGCCTCTGAGGTAACATCTCTAAGCTTCTTACACATTTTTTGATGTAATTGGTGTAATCCCAAAAAATTCAGCCCTCTCATGGTAACCCAGTTCTCCCTAAGAATCTCTACATTAGCATGGGTTGCAAATTTCTCCTGGTGTCACTTATTTCCCTTAGGTTTGTTTGATCACTTTCTCTCTTTGGGAGTGGGAGGGAGAAGACAGGGGGGAGGAAATGGAATCAAGAAGCTATGCCCCTCTCCCTGCCATCTATTACTATCGTCTCCAAACATTGGGATTCTCAGTTGACAGCTATTTTGCACCATGCAATGCTTTTCAATTTAAATTTCAATTGTAGGATGGAATCATCAGTGATAATGCTACTTCTTATGAACTAATGCTGCTTCCTGAATCTTGGAAACTGAGCCTTAGGAGGAGACAGCAAAGGAGATGGGTGGTTAGCCCTGAGGGGGAATAAAGAATGAAGGGTATCATGCAGAAGATTTAATTTAGATTCCTGCATCAGTCCAGGGGTTGGGCTCAAGGGTATAGTTTTGAATGTATGTCATTTTGATTTTTTTGAGTCCTTCAAAATAATCAGATTGTTAAATGGTGTTATTGGAGGAACCCTTTACTTAGAAAATAAGCCAATATTTGGCCATTTTGGAATCATGTTGTCTCGCATGTAATTAGTTGCCTATCTTAAACATGATGCCTAAAAGAAATGTTCACATTTCTGTGTTGCTTAGACCAGTAGTGTCATTGACTGAAGGAAGTAGATGGAAAGGGAAGTGCCTCAGACTAATGGGATATCCTACACTGATTATCGATTTGCTAAATTATTCATGCCTTCTGCATAAAGGAATTGTTCCTTCACCTGCTGATTCACTCAAGCCAGGGAGAAAGCACTTTAGTGAGGCAGTATGGATTATAAATCTCTGTTTCTAATTGAGCCTTGCTCAACAAAATAACCCTAGAAGTAGTAGAGTCCCTATGTTGGCTGGGATTTGTAGTCCAGTACATCTGAAAGCCTCAAGTATGGGGAAGATTGCTATATTGTGATAGGATTGGAAATTGGAGACATCTAATTTCTGTGCCAAGTGGTCTATTTTCTTTCCTGCTGCTTGTATTAAGTTAGGACATGCCTACAAACACTCAGAGACTGGTTGGTTTTTTAAAAAGATTAGTAAACATATTGCAACTTAGAATTTGGATAGCTAGGAACTGATTGTCAGATACAGATTGTCAGGTTAGGGTCACACAAAGAATTTTTTTGTGTTATTAGGAAGCTAACAGAATATCATACAGACATTTCATAAAAAGTAGAAGTCTTGAAATATCTTATTCTGCAGATCAAAAAATTATTAAAGAATATTTAGGCATGCAAAATCAAGTATGATGTATACAACTGTTTATATCAGTGGATATAAAAAGTCTACACACCCCTGTTAAAATGCCAGGTTTTGGAGATATAAAAAAAATCAGGTAAGATAAAATCACTTTTTTTTCACAAAATCACAAAAAAATCACAATGTTTCCACCTTTTACTCATAAGCTGTACAATTCAATTGAAAAACAAACAATTTGGGGGAGGGGGGATAACAATAAAAACATATAATAATGTGGTTACACAAAGATGCACACCCTTAAAGTAACACTTTGTTAACACCCCTTTTGATTTTATGTCAGCATTCAGTCTTTTGAAATAGGAGCTTATCAGCATGACACATCTTCCCTTGGGAAACTTTGCCAACTCTTCCTTGCAAAAATGCTCCAAATCTGTCAGATTGTGAGGGCATCTCCTGTGCCAAGCCCTGTTCAGGTCACCCCACTGATTTTCAATACGATTCAGGCCTCGGATCTCTAGCTGAGCCATCCCAAAACTTTGATCTCCTGGTAAAGCCATTGTTTTGTTGATTTGGAGGTATGCTTTGGATCATTATGTTGAAAGGTGAAATTCCTGCTCATCTTCAGCATTTTAGCAGAGGCCTGAATCAAGGGTGAAATCCAGCAGGTTCTGACAGGTTCTGGAGAACCAGTAGCGGAAATTTTGAGTAGTTTGAAGAACTGGTAAATATCACCTCTGGCTGGCCCCAGAGTGGGGAGGGAATGGAGATTTTGCAGTATCCTTCCCCTAGGAGTAGGGAGGGAATGGGGATTTTGCAAAATCCTTCCCCTAAAGTGGGGAGGAAATGGAGATTTTGCAGTATCCTTCCCCTGCCATACCCACCAAGCTATGCCCACAGAACCGGTAGTAAAAAAAAATTGAATTTCACCACTGCCTGAATGTTTTGTGCCAAAATTGGCTGATATTTGGAACTGTTCCTAATTCCCTCCATTTTGACTAAAGCCCCCGTTCCAGCTGAAGAAAAGCAGCCCCTGGGCACAATATTGCCACCACCATGCTTCACTGTGGGTATTGTGCACTTTGGTGACTTACAGTGTTGCTTTTGCACCAAACATACCTTTGGAATTATGGTCAAAAAGTTGAAACTTGATCTCATGAAACAAGGTAGGCTTTTGCAAACTGTAGCTGGGCTTGAATGTTTTTCTTTGTAAGGAAAGGCTTCCATCTTACCACCCTACCCCACTGCCCAGGCATGTTAGATTGTTGTCATATGTAGCGTGGCACGACAAAACCGCGGTCCACTAAAGCGCGCCCGATTAAAGCGCGTACCTGACGTCATCAGCAGTGCGACAAATACGACCGCGGAGAAAAAAGCAAGCCGATTCACGTAAAGGTAAGGGTTAGGGTTAGGGTTAGGTTAAGGGTTAGGGTTAGGTTAAGGGTTAGGGTTAGGGTTAGGTTAAGGGTTAGGGTTAGGGTTAGGGTTACGTTAAGCGTTAGGGTTAGGTTTAGGGTTAGGTTAAGGGTTAGCGTTAGGTTTAGCGTTAGGTTAAGGGTTAGGTTTAGGGTTAGGTTTAGGGTTAGGTTTAAGGTTAGGTTTGGGGGGGTTAGGTTTAGGTTTACGTGTTAATTTTAACTTTACCGCTCACAACGTGCTGTTTTCGTCGCGCTGTGATGATGTCAGGTACGCGGTTTCGTCGAGCGCGCTTTAGTCTACCGCGGTTTTGTGGTGGAACCATATGTAGCACACAACCAGTGCTTGCCAGAAATTCTTGTAGCATCTTTAATATTGCTATGGGCCTCTTGTACCAGTTTTCTTTTTTTCATCAATTTTGGAAGGACATCCAGTTCTTGGTAATGTCACTACTGTGTCATATTTGCTCCACTTGTTGATAACTGTCTTCACTGTGCTCTATGTTATATCCAATCCCTTGGAAATTTCTTCTCTTGACCGATACCTTCCAATAATGAGACCCCTTTGACGCTCTGTAAGCTTTTTGTAGTCCATGGCTTTTGCTATAAGACACGGGTGTCAAACTCACAGTGTCAGGTTGCCATCAAGTGATGCTTCGTGACATTTTTTTCCCTTTGCGGAGTTGGAGTGGGCATGGTTTGTGCGTGATGCAACCGGCCTGCAGGCCACCAGTTTGACAACTCTGCTATAAGAGATAACTGAGTAAATGTCAGAAAAGTCCTACTAGAACAGCTGAACTTTATATGGGCTTGATCAGAGTTAGTTTAATTGATAACAGGTGTATACTGACTATTTAACATCACTTTGAATGTTATTATTTCTGAGCACAGCCATATCCTTACTTGTAAGAAGATAGCTTACGAAGGTAATTTATGAAGCGTGTAATTATTCTAGAATTGTATTGTTATTTTCTCCCTAAAAGATTTCAGTTTGATTTTCAATTGGATTGTATAGCTGTGTTATATTAAGGATGGAAAAGTTCTGAAGTTATTTATCTTGGTCTGATTTTTTTTTATATCTCAAAAATTGACATACACAGAGGTATATACAATTTATATATCCATTGTATTATGTATGTGTACATACAAATACATTTGCCTGAGATCTTTGGACCAGAATGAGTAAAGTCCCCATTTTAGGAGTAATTGTGTGTGTGTGTGTGTGTGTGTGTGTAGCCATTTACTTGTTAATATGCGTTGATTTAGTGTGTGTTGATTTTTTTCATTTTTTTAATACATGCTACTCAGAATCATATTGTCTGAGTTGGCATTTCTACAAATGCTATAAAAATTCAATATCTCTAAAATATTGGTAAAATGCATCAATGTGTGGTAACACAGTCTATAGCCACCTCATCAAGATTTGTGTTTAAAATCTGCTTATCGTGGTAACTCCTGTTTATATTGGATTGCTGATGTGCTAAATAATTATTTTAAAATGTACAATGTTTTCTGAAGAGCAAAACCCTTGAATTCTGTATGACTTAGTTCTCAGTAAAGTGTATGAGCATAGAATTTATGGCTAAGTGCTGGAAGACAATCGTAGCAATGTCTGGCTGAGTATCCATGAAAAATAATTGCGGCTGGATGTAGTTTCCACAGATTGGGGGCATTTTGAAGAAAACATTGAAAACACTCACCACACCAGTTTGTTTTAAAAAGGACCTATACTTTGCTAATTCAAAGATAGGTGCCCTATCTTCTATTTGTTTTGTAATGCAAATCTTATAAGCCTCCACCATTGCCATTACAGTGTTTCTCATTTTCTCAATTATCAGGGCTGACAGGGGTGACTAACTCTGCTCTGGATGCATTAGGTAGCAATTCAGGAGGGTCATCAGTATGTACATGCTCGAAGACCACTGTAGTGTGAGTTTGTGCCATCTGTTTTGTTAGATATGAATTCAGATGTACATTAACTATATATCTGCACTTCAAGTATACACTCAATAATAAATGAATAGAAGCCTGGCTGTATGCATACATTTGATGATTCTCTATCTAATCTAGAGATTAAATATATTTACCAGCATGTTTATTTTGATTTTATATTGTTCTTTTTCCACAACATGTTGAATTTTGGGGTACGTAGGCCTGGTATCTTTTCCTGGAATCACATGGTAATTTTGCTTCCTATGCTTTTCATTATCTATATGAATGCATTGCTTTGATATGATAACCTGTCATAAACCGGGTTAGGTAAATCAAA